AGAAAGAGAGAGAGAGAGAGAGAGAGAGAGAGAGAGAGAGAGAGAGGGAAAGAAAGTACTTCGAACTCGATAAATTATTTTCTTTTCACTCCCCTCCTATCTCATTTTATTTTTATTAGACACCTTCGATCCTCCGAGAGAGAGAAGGCATTGACCTCTTCTTTAATATAGATTTAGTATCGAGACCAGCAATTAGCGATGAATCTCGATCGTTAAAATTAACATGTAGCCTTTATTTAGTTATTCATTATTAAATATAATCGTTTTTTTATTTTTCTTCTTTTTATTTGTTCTGGTATAATATTTGTTACCAGTTAAAAATATTTTCTTTTCTATCTTTTACTGAATGGTATTAGATTTCGTAGAAAAAACAGTGATTTTGATAAATAAGAAAACTTATTCGATAGATTTAATTGGTTGTACCAAACGAACGCATATGTATTTTGGTTATGTTTTTGATATTGATTTTGATTATTAATCGGTGATTGTTTTTCGAAAGATTTCTTATTGGAAATATATTTTATTTTCAAAGAAAGATGAGATCAGATAGAGGATTATACTTATGCGACAGATTTGATTGGTTAAATAATATCGTATTGACGAAATTTGGTTACATTTTTATCTATGTTTTTTTTTCTTCTTCTTGTTTCTACCTTTTCCCCATATTTCTTCTCTCTTTTTTTTTTTATATTTTAATTTTTATTTTCGATAGTTGTTTTTCGTGTCGATCGATAATAATTGCTGACTACCCGCATATTTCTCGTTGCTCTTCATTCGAACTCGGTGCGTGAGAGTTTTCGCGTGTTCACGCTTGTGTTCGAAACGAACGCAACGTTACATGTGGGTAATAAAAAATGCTCGTGGAGAAGCATCATGGGAGAGACAGAAAGAGAGAGAGAGAGAGAGAGAAAGGTAGAAAATTGTAACACGGAAAACGCAGTGAACGCAAGGGAATTTCAATGCGTTTCGAACAGTAGTTCGAACGGTGATTGATACGCAAGTATTATACATGCTTCTGACGTTTTGTTTGCAAACCCCTATTGCACCTCTAGCCATATTAGAAATGTAAAAAACATGAGAGAGTGTACGCTATCGATAGACATCTCTCGATCCCTTGATACTAGTCATCGTGTAGTATTCCAATTTTTATAGGAAATATTCTATTCCAGAAACAAAAGTTTTTCCTTCCATTGTTCTACAATAATATTTTTTCAAAACTAATATTTAAAAAAACAAAAATTATTGCGTTAAAAATGGTAGGCAAGATTGCAATAATGAACAAACAAAAAATTAATGTATGATTCTAGTAATAAGATTTGAAGATTGTTATGTTGAATTTATAGGATTATATGAATAATAATAAATTTTATGAATCTTCACGTAGTTTGACCATAATCGTATATTTTTCTATTCCAAATTTTGTTCACAATTTTTTATTGATGTCTAATACGTATAAAAGTTTATTTAAAATTTGCGTTATATTATAGTATTCATCAAATGTTTTAGAAGTAAGTTTGGATAAAGTAAGATATGTGAGAAAGACGAGAATACAAAAGGTTCGAGTTTAAGCTTGAGAGAAGCACGGTATGAATAGCAGCTCTTACAAGTGTATACGTTAGCGTTTTCGTTGAATATGTAACGTTAAATTTGCGTCTGCTTACGGTCAGAGACTGCATCTCGGACCTATTGAATTCCTTGGAAAGTTTAAATTGGCAGTCTATTTCTCTCGCTTCGTGCCACCTTACTAGAACCTTGAATTATAATTTTATAGGGGGCCTCCTAATAAAGAGATAAAAAAATTTGTTCACGTGCATCATCCATTTCACTTTAACTTTATCTTATTTTTTTGTTCAAAAGTAATTTAAGTGTTCCAATAAAAATTCATGATTGCATTCTTTCTACGATTAATCTTAAAAATATTAACAAAAATATTTCAAAAAATTATATCATCTTTTTCATATTTTAATTGTAAATATTGTATTATACTCAATTTTGGTATCGTATAAAATTGTGAATAATTTTTATTGTTTTTATAAATTAAACGCGTGAAAGTTTTTGGATTTAGTTATCATTTATGTACAAATCTTTGAAATTTGGTTATTTTTGTAAAAAGGTCAATGACCTCGTTGGCTAGCTTACAATTAATTTCTCCTAGTTTCATCGTTTCGTATACTTTTATACTATAATTCGTAGGACATTCTGAACAGTGTCGGTTGAAATTTAACATAGAGAGAAGTTAATGGTAAAACGTGCATCAAGATTTTACATTATCGTGCCAGCAGCAAAGTGACACAGTAGCAACAGTAGTAGCAGCAGTCGGGACGAACATTACTCTAGTTATCAGTTATATGGGTTAATGTTGACCAATTACACACGAGAACTTTGATACACAGGATATAACTGTTTAATGCACAAATATTACATAAATTCGTATCACGCAAAATATTAATGTATATTTCATATAAATTAAATACATTTTTATAAAAAGAAATTTAACGTATAGAAATAAATTTGAATTATGATAATATTTATAAAAAATATTTTCTTTTACAAATGGTAAGGAAAGGTTCGTAAAATTTGTGATAGATCTTTCTTTTGATTTTTAAAGAGAAAATAAATTTTTGATTCGACAAACGGACACGTTTCAATGGAGCGAAAAAAAAAATCACGATCGTAACACGGTCCCCGGTATCGTCTGTTGACACAAACCAGACGATGAAAATTTATACCGCGAAAATAGAGTGAAAATGAACAGGGAGAGAGAGAGAGAGAGAGAGAGAAAGAGAATAAGGGAGTGAGATAAAAAAAAGGGTATTGAAAAATCGATGGAACGTGTCGAATGTTTTCGTGGTAAAAACGCTATCATCAAATGGACCAAGTATTTGACCATCGGTTGTGTGACTGTGTGTTTGTTCAGCAGTATAATAAATAAGCGAACGAGTTTTCAGTATTTTTGGTTTGGTGAAAAGTAGCCAAATTTGTCGAATCCTTTTTTCGTTCTACATCGATCGACACTATAGCTAGCGAAATTACTAATAAGCTGTTTCCTCGTTCGTTAGAATATAATTTTACATTAAACTTTGTTGGTGTGAGACAAGAGAGAGTTGTTCATCGATCGAGTGCAAAACTCAAACGAGACACGTACGTTCGTTTGTTATATTTAGAGATTTCAAAGTTGACTTTGGTACTATGTACATAGTACGTCCATGGTACGTGTTGATTATTTGACGGTCAATTTCATTTCAATGAAATATAATAAATCTAAAACTTTGATTCAATAAATCGTAATATATAACACGCATAATTTGTGCGAACATTCGATCTTATCATATATAATTAATTAAACCATTTTATAATTTAAGAGTGTACTTTCATTCAACTCTCGATTAAAAAAACGAAAATATTTTACTATCAATTAAGTACTTTTGATTACGGGTTAAATTGTCTAATTAATAAATAATAATAATTTAATTAAAATATTTCAAGCGTACTAACGTGTTGTATACGATAATGAACATTCATTTTCTATCGATATATTTATTATTCAATTTAATACTTGATCTTTTCGAAATTTGATTACCGTATTCACATATACAATAAACCTGCACACATATCTATTTAAAAAATTATTTCAATTATGTTAATTGGTACTATGCCAAAAGAGTTAGTATCCAGTAAACATTCGAGACTCGAAAGAAAAAAAAGAAGTAGAAGAAAAAATAAAGAAAGAAAACTAGCGTCGACGAGAAAAAAATGGCCGAGGGCTATGGTCGTAAGGATTTCGCAATTACCACGTCGATATTCATTATTTCCGCATGTATGCTAGTTCATTATTACTTGATCTTTCTCTCTCTCTCTCTCTTTTTCTCATTTCATACACCCTCTCTCATTCATACACTTTCGTGAAGTGTCAACGTGTGTAGAAAATCTATGTCGTGTGAAAGATGTAAAGAAGGAGAAAAGTTAAGTGTGTTGGTGGTGGTAGTGGTGGTGGTGGTGGTGGTGGTATGGAAGGAAGGCAGGGAGAGGAGTATGACGAGCGTTTAAAAAAATGTTTCCACAGTATTCAGTCAGTCACGTCGGAGTGCAAACGCTCGCGGCTGTAGTATCAACATCAGCAACTGTATTAGTAGCAGTAACACGCTCGAAACTTCTCTCTTTCTCTTTTTATTTCTCTTTCTCTCTCTCTCTTTCTCTTTCTCTCTCTTTTTTGAACGTATGTGCTAGGATGTTAGTGCGTAGCTCGTCAAAAAGGGAAAGCTCGCTTGAATTTTGTATGCAAATAAACTCGGAAAAGAGAGCGGGCTAGACGAGTCCGCTTTAAGGACACCGTTGCATTGCAACGGACTGTGCTTGACGTCAAAGAAAAAACTTTCTTTCTCTTTTTCTTTCTCTTTCTCTTTCTATTTCTATTTCTATTTCTTTTTCTTTTTTTTCTCTATTTTTATTTTATTTTTTATCTCCGTCTTTTTAGTTTTCGTTCTACGTCCGTATATGTTTATATGTGTGTTTTAACGTGCACACACACACACACATATAGGCACACACGTTTAAAGTGTATCTTCGCGATATTACGTTATAGGTTGAGAGGTGTGAAAACTGACACGTTCGTGGCATAAACCATCACTTTTTTTTTATCTTTTCCTGTTTTTGTTGTCTTTTATTTCTCTTTCTCTCTCTCTCACTCTCTCTTTCTCTCTCTCTCTCTCTCTCTCTCTCTCTCTCTCTTTGCTCTTCTTTTTCCTATATTAAATGCTACTCCTTTCATTCGTTCCAAGATTATACAGAAAACATTTTCTTTTTTTTATTATTATTATTATTATTATTATTATTATTATGGATCGAATATTATAATTTTATAATATCAGATTTGATTGAAATAGATATTAGTAAAATCTCGTTATAAATGTTCATACTTTTTACAGGTTTATGCTGTTACTACTGATCTGTCTGTCTTAAGCAGATCTTTACCTACTTAAAATTTAAATACTCGTATTCGTTCGCTAACGATTTATTTTATTAAACACTTTGCATGCAATTTTATTTTATACATTCGTGAATCTTTTATAATATTTTAGATATATTAACACACCTATTTTAATCATCGTATTTAATTTTATTTAATTTTTCTTAGTAGTATCGTTGAAATTATTTTACGTATCTCTGATGTTTCAGATATGTTCAGTGTGTGTATGTTTGTGTGTGTGTGTGTGTTTCAGTAATTTTTCGAATTTAATTAAAATGGATTATAACACGTAACACTAGGGACCTACTATTATCACTATACTTATCATTTATTCGTTATGTTGCTCATATTTAACTAAAAATTTCGTTAAGGATTATATTCAATTATGGTCGAATGTTTATCTAGCATCTAACTACCGGCTGCCTACCTGTTTACATACGTGAGATTGCTTAAAGCCAATTTGATATTTCAATTGGGAATAATTCCAGGCTAATCAATTAGCCAATTAATTTCATACCAAGCGTTTTCGTGGAACGGTAAGCATTCTATAATATAATGCGTGCTTCAACATATGGATATTATTATATATGTTTCGATAGTTAACTGTTTATATTGCAGTACACACTGAAACATATTGTATCAATATACTAAAATAAACTAAAAATAAATTCAATTATTTATTTGAAACGTTATCGTTTATTGAGCAGTGTCTAAACGGTGAAAACAAAAAATTCTTTTAATTTTTATTATTTTGTAATTAAAAATCATAAATACGTTCTTTCTTTTTTTCATGTTAACTTTTTAGACTGAATTACAATGAATTCGATTACTTATTTGAAAAGTTATTTTTTTATAGAATTTTATTCCGAACGGTACACGAAAATTTCGTTAGATTTTCGTTATTTATTTTTTTTCTTATAATTTTATTTTGTTTTAATTAAAAAACATATAGGTGTTCTTTTTCCGTTATGTAAACTTTAGATCGAACTACTTTCGAAGAATCGACAAATTCAATTGGCTGGCTACATTTCGATCTGACTTGAGTATTCACGTTGGTTTTGTTGTTCGGTGATTGTCGAGAAATTGCATATCGTACGATACGTGCTCTCTTGAGAATTTCATAGTATGTATAGTTGTAAATACATAGATATAACGATAGTATGTACGTATACATATGTATACATATATACGTACATGTAGAACGTGATCGTAAGAATAAGAAAATTTCGAATGATTATGTCAGAATGGAAAATGTGTTTTGTCTTGATAAAAATATTTAGAAAAGAAAAATATTGTTTCTTATAAAATTGTTCTAATCATAATAAAAATTCCAAGGGTATAATATATATTTCTATTTTATTTTTATTCGCGTACTTTATCCTACCTTTTTTACACATAAAAAATTTATTTTTATATTTATATTTATATAGATTTACGCGTGTGTTTTGCATCTAAATTCGAATTTGCGTAGATTAGATTCCGAATAAAAATGTTAGTATTCAATCTAGGCTGGTAGAAAAATGATTTTGGAAGTTTAAATGTAAATCATTTTTCATAGTATTTCATAGGTTTGACAATTGGAAATCCTAGCAAACGTTGTAGGTGTAAATATTTATGTTCAGATTGTAATCGTCGATAGGAATCCAATGAATCACGTCATATAAAACGGTCGATCTCGTTCTATCGGACAACACACATATACACACACAAACAAATACACATACAAATGGCTCAATGCTATCTACTCCATTGTGAGGTTTATGGTTCTTTACTGCAAGCTTCCGTTCTTTTTCCAGGAGATTCGCACACTTTCACGGATAACGGCCTCGATAGATTACTCCGTGGAACTCGAAACCTTTTCGTATCTCTTCCGGAATTACTCTTACTATGTGCAAGAAAAAGAAAGAGAGAGAGGAAGAGAGAGTAAAAATGCTTTTTGAAGCATCGAAGATATTAGAAGGGCGTATGTAGCGAAAGGTAAAATTGATTTTCTCGTCGCGTCACATCTGCTGGTGTTCTTCAAAAAAAAGTAAAATAAAATAAAAAATAAGAGAAAAGAAAAGAAAAGAAAAGAAAAGAAAATAATTCAACGAAAAGCACAAAAAAAAACAATTCGACAATCTTCGAATCATGAAAAATTTCTCCAAAGTATATATTATCCACTTGTCTGTTTATTTAAGTGAAAATAATTTTGTTTAAGTTCTCAATCCGTGATAATGATAAATTTCCTTAAATGTTAAATAATAAATGAAGCTTATCAGGATGTATCCTTTTGTTCATTGAAATAAAGCCGATCCAATTTTCTCGGTGAGTTCGGCTTGGTTCGTGTCGCGTGTTACGAACTGGCACTTAATTACATCCGAATTCAACACAATTAGCGGGGGATGCAGTGGGTAAAACGGAAACACGAGCTAGCGTTTACATTTGGCTTTCATAGATTTCGCGATAGAGGGGAAGTTGTGTAGCGTTGTGTTGTGTTGTGTTGTTGTTGTAGATCCTGCAAATTTTCGATACGAATGGAGAATAATTATGGTATTACGTACGACTTCGTGTATTAGATCGAATGCAAAATTGTGCGATTCGTATGAAGTATATTATTATGTTTTGTTTTATATTTAACACGATCGTCTCTTTTCATATAATCAAAAGTAATTTATAATGAGTTACTAAAAATATTAATAAATTCAAGGTTTTTACGAACGAACGAACACGATGATGATATTTGAATGCCAATGTTATACTATTTGTAATTAATTTAATACCTACCGTTTTCACGATCAGTTTAAAGATGAACGAATGATTGAAGTAGAATCAATCATGCGATTATAATTAGATGAATAATCACTCACTGATTTATTTCTATCAGTTTTTATTTTGATCACTATTATAATTCCAAGGTTTGATATTATTTTTATGAACCCACGAACACACACATCGTTGCACATTAAGAGTTGAGGATATTTTAATTGTTTGGTTTAATTTTTTAACGTTTTTTTTTGTATGTTTTTAAACGATATCAAAAGACATATGAAATATATTTAAGAGAAAAGTATTCGTTCGTTCTTAGCAGTAGTTCCACTATGCTGATGGCGACTCTGCCACGCACTGATCTAAATTTGTCGTGGATCAACCTAAATACATTCCACGACTTCCCTCGTTCGTTTCGTTCGTTCGTTCCAACGAACGTATATACATTCACGTTCATTCTAGAAAATATTAAAAACAATAATAGAAAAAAAATGTATTCGCATTTTTTATGATAATACAATATATACGCTATTATTTTTATTCTTTACATTAAAATATCCTAGGAAAAAAAAAACAAGAAAAACCCTTTGCGTACTCCAGACTCTCAGTTTATTAATTAAGAATTTGATTAAAATTATCAAAAGAACCAATTACGAACGATTCGATTGATAAAAAAATTGTCAAATGTTCCAATAAAACATAGAGAGGGAGAGAGAGAGAGAAAGATGACCAATTATAAGACTATTACGTATTCGGATTGTCGATGAAACACTTGACGCAAATTAAAAAGTTTACGGACGTTGGCTGACACGAAAATGTTTCTCATTGTCTCGGAGTTTTACTAGCTGATGACGGGAGAGGAAGAAAGAAAAAGAAAAAAAAAGGGGGAAAAAAAAGAAGAAAAACGAAACGACATATAAAACAGGGAAAGATGAAGTGAAGGGAGAGAACAAGGGAGAAAGTAGGAGGGTTGGTAGGGGTGTTCGGAGAACGGGAATAGAGTGAGGGGGTAATGGGGGAAGGGGGAGGGTTCGCTTGAGGGGTGAAACTCTCACGAAACGAATTTGATGCGCGAATTAATTAGTCGCGTGGAATACCGGTCATTATAACCGGCATGCGACTACTAATTTCATTAGCTACTCGCGTTGGCGTACCAGAAGTACTAATTGGTTAATTACGAAAGTAAAGGCGTATGTATCCCATATACTTCGTCACTCTCATTTCTCTCTCTTTCTCTTTTCCTTTCTCATTCTCACTCACTCACTCAATATTTTCTTCTTCTTTTTTTTTACTTTTAGGACGAGACGCGAACGAGATTTCATTATATCGAATATACGTATTCGTTTAATCGAGTTTTAATCGCTAGAAACGAATCAAAAAATACGTTTCAAAGTTGTACGAAAAAAATGAATAGATTTGAAAATATGTTTCAGAAGGTTGAATCGTTACTTTGAATGTTTTCAAGCGTAAACGAAATTCGTCCGGTCTTTTCGAGAAGTTTGTCTCGCAAATTTTGTCGTAACTATATATATACATATATGTACTTTCTGTTTTCTTTTTTTCGTTTTTATTTTTATTTTTTTTTTTTCTGCTTCTTCCTTTGCATCTTGTCTTTATTTTGCAAAAGTTGGATTCTTCAAAGCAACTTCGAATCTTAATTACTCGATGCAACCAGTGTAACATAAAGCCACTTGGTTCTGTTTGAGATTATTATTTATTCTTTATATTTTATGGTTTGTTCGATTAACGGTATATTTTATGTAACAGGGAAACAAGTTCAAAGATGTCTTATATAAATATGATATCTTCTTGTTTTTCTTTTTATCTCTTTATTGATTGGGGTAAATTGTAACAACCAATTAGAATTATTTCTTTATGCTAAGATTATTATTAGAACGAATTTCATTCTGCCATATTTTCATGTATACAAAAAAATTATTAAATTATTATAAAGAGACGTCATATCTTTTTGTATGATAGAAAGAGTAAGAGATAGAATAGATAATTATATTCTTTTTTTTTAATTATATGTATAGGGATACGTTTGTTTAAAAAATCAGACGTATCCAGTCGGAAGTTGTAAGACTGGTATTGAGGTTTTTTTTCTTTTTACTTTTTAATTTTTCCTGTTTTAAACGCGAAGATGGCATGAAGTAAACCAGTTACGTTTTGACTATCAATCACTTTTGGACGAAATAGCACACACGTATTTGAAAGTTCTTCTTCTTCTTCTTACCTCGGAGAAGGATTCCATGGACTTTCGAGTAGCAAATTAAAATCGATCGAAGTTCAAAGCGTTCACATTCGCTTACTTTACAGAAACCAGCTCGTATTACTTTGTCAATGTCGTTTGCAAACGTCGAACGTGACCGTTGCTTTCCACCCATTTTGTCGCCTTTAACCTTCCAAATCTTCGTCTTTAAGTGTCTTGAAAAAAATATAATCAATTTCAAAACTTGTAAAAAAAGAAAAAAAATATATATATCTAAGATTTATCTTATGTATTTATTTAATTTAATTTAATTTAATTTATTTAATATTAAAGTTTAGTTTGATATATAATGAAATGAGATTAAGGTTCATTTGAATTTGCGAGATATTATTTCTTTTTATAATTATCCCAACAATACTTTTTCACAATTTATGCTTATTTCTAAACCATCTCTATACATTGCTTCAGCCGAAATTTTTTCCTAGTTAAAAATAATAGTACAGCAAGGGGGTTAATTTCATTAAATGAAAATTCGAGAAAATTTACGAACCCTAGTTCTTTCATGTAAGCTATTAAAATATTCGGCGAATTCCAGCAGATTTGAGCCTTTTCGGATTTAATTGTGAATTCTAATTAAGAGACGTAAATCGAAAAACGGTTAAAGTATATTCGAGGAAAAGGGAAGGGAAATTCGAGTATTAAAAGTATCGTTTAACGTATTTAAAATCCTAATCTTAATTTCATCTATCCTTTTTTTTAATTTTATTTACGGTTCCTTCTTCTTGTTTCTCACATTTTCCTCTACCCTTTTTCTTTATATCTCTTTTTCTTCGTCCATTTGGTTTAAATCGTTCATCTATCTACGTACTTTTCGTTCGTTTCTCACTTATAAATAAATTTTCTATCTCTTTCGTACATCTATCTATATATTTCTTTTCCTTCTTTTTTTTTGTCAACATTTTTATCGTTATATTCTAAAACGAGTTTATCGTGGATTCATGCAACATGGAATGAAAGTCTAGTAAATCGTCCTCTTTTTTAAAAACTCGTCCTTCTTTCTGTAGGAAAGCTTCTATAGGATAGATTCTAAATCTGAATCCTTGTTGAAAAATTCCAAAAAAAATTCGTCTGACGATATGGGTACTTTCAATTTTAATTCTGAATTATTTGATTGAGATGCATACACATCATACATACTAGTATATAGAATATATTTCATAGCATCGAATTGTTTTAAAAAGGATTATATTCTTTTCAAACATTCGCGAGTCGAAGAAAAAATATTGTTGAACATTTTTATTCGTATAAAAATTTTTTTCTCAAAGTTTACGTATAAAAACTGAAACTATTGTAAAGAAATTTATCGTATGCGTTAGAATAAATTTTAAATAGTACGATTACAAATAAATTCTCTCAAATTGTAACTTGTCGTAGATAAAAATTCTTCGTGACAGCTGTCAACGTTTCATGGTAACGATAGAGATGTCAGTATAAAATGATTCTCTTGGAACAAAAAAAAAGAAAGAAAGAAAGCGAGAGAAAGAGAGAGAGAGAGAGAGAGAGAGAGAGAGAGGAGAGAGAGATAAGTAAAAAAAGGTAAAAGAAAATCTTTAGAGTGACAGCTACTTCGAGTTTGAAAGTTCTCGTTACTTTGCCTTCAGATCGGCTTTGGGCCCAAGCAAACCAATAACAGCAAGAAGAGTTCAACGTCGTTACGATCGTCACTAGTTTCCTATCAATGCATTTCTATCCTTTTTGAAGAGAGGATGTTAAGCGAAGGAAATATCCTATATGGATGCAACCGGTACAAACGATCCCTAGAAAAATGATCTTTCCAAAGCTTCGAAAAGGATTCCACACGCGTGCGTGTTGGATTTTCTCTAAAGGGAAAATGTGTATTTTTTCTCTTTAAAATGTGGATACAAATTCATCTTTCAATTATTATAAATATAATATAATATAATAAAGTCTTATATATTATTAAAGTTAATATTAACGATAAGACGAACTTAGTTTGTTCGCATAATTTTAATAAATTGTTTACCTTAAATTATATATATATATATTTTTCGAAAAGAGAAAATGGTTTTACCTTGGAACACAGAATTGAAATATAATGCAATCTCTTACAAAAGATCTTTGGGGAAAATTTATTATATTAAAAAATAATACGATATAATGAGCATATTGTCTGCGAGAGTAATTTTAGTTTTCTACAATTTTAATTGAACATAAATTTGATTGCATAATATTATATTGCATTATAAGTTTTATAATAATTGATTAACTGACACGTAGATTTGTAAAGAATGTACTAATCTCGATGCAAATTGAAACGGTTAAAAGATATTATCGTATAAAAACCGATCAATTCCTTAACAATACTGATAATACATCATAAATAAAATCATTCATTTCTTTTCTCTCATTTTTACCTACTCATCGTATTTTATCGATACATATAAGAACGAGGGTGTCATTGGTCTATTGTAAAGCTTCCTGATAGAATACATCCAAGTGCAAATTGAAAGCCAATATATTGGAAGATGGAAAAAGATAGAGATAGCATAAAAAAGGTATCTAATAATTCTTTATATCGATCGTGTTTCATATTAAAAGATAAATCAATCATCGTTATGTTTGTTGAATAGATTGAATAGTTTCAATACTTTTGAATATATACGTATACGTAGTTTAGGTAGATTTTGTTGATGTTCAAAAATCAAAAATTCTCCCGTTCTCTCTCTCTATCTTTTTTAGGGAATATAATTCTTTCTTTCTCTTTCTTATGAAGACAATGACGACGACAGAGAAGTCAAATATTAAAGCCGTTTCTGTGGTGGCTGTCGCTTCGTTGTACTCCAGACCATTCACTGGTACAGTTGAAGCATCCTCTTTTCTAACGTTTCATCTAACAGCACCAGCAGCAGTAGTAGCAGGTTGCTAGCTATACTAACATCAGCAGCAGCAGTAGCAGCAGGAGTAGTAGTAGTAATAGCAGTAGTAGTAGTAGTAGCAGTAGTTATAGAAGCAAAAGCAGAAGCAGCACCCTACCGTTTCTAACATTGTGTACGTTTCTCGAGATGTTCGTTTCTTCCTTGTCGTTAGCGTATATGGTCTACTTATTGTATGCGATCTCGAGATTCTCTCTCGAAATCTCTCTCTCTCTCTCTTTCTTCCTCTTTATCTCTCTTTTTCTCTCTCTTGACCTCGTAGGTGTATCGTCTCTTAGAAATAGAAATTCTTCATTTTCTATTCCGTGTTATTTCCCTTGTTCCTGTATGGTTAGTGCGTTAATCCTTTCATAATATTCTTTGACACAATTCTTATTCTACCATGATTGAATACTTTTCTTTTATTGATCATTTGCAAAATAAATAATTGATAATTAAGGAAAAGGGGTTTTATTTAAATTCTGACTTCGGTCTCTCGAATGGATATCTTTATATTTTTATAAGGTTCATATAATTTTTCACTGTTTATTCAGTACTTTCATAGTTAATAATTCCATGACATTATTTATTGTTATTAATTAACAGATCTTTATTTAAATTGATGTTAAACATTTGAAGTTTTTTTTCACAATGTTATAATTAATAAATTATTAGAATATGATTTAAATCAAATAACGCTAAATGAAATAGATGTGAGTCTTATTATTTTTCGCGTCAGTTTTATTATGTATTTTTATATTTTTTACATACCCATCATTTAAAGAATGAATTCAATGTAATACGAAAGACGAAATGAGCGACGAATAGAACATGGTAGGACTTGTTTCATTACATCGTGAGATAAATTGTTCCTCGGGATCCGGTTACTTGTTCTTCGGTCGAAAAAAAAAAGAATGAGAAAATAATAGAGAAAAAAAAGTTGGAGATGATGAGGAAGTAGGAAAGGTACGAGGATAGTATGAAAATGTCACGCGATACTCATAATAACGCATCTGCTTCATTCTCGAGTCCCTTTTCCATCTCTTCCAACATAATATTTATATATTTAAATTTTAATAATAAAAATTTTATAGTAAAATAATATTTCAAAGATATGGAAAATTATTTCTATAGGAATTTCTATATTATTAATATAAATAATAATTAAAAAGGTGTTTACACACAGCATTTATTTAATTAATTCAGATTTAATAACATATTATACCAAGTAATAAAATTAAAAGATTATTAATATCGAAATTAAAATAATTTGGCTGAAGAAATGTGATAGGTGTAAAAAATGATGCACCTTTGATAAAATCCCATAAATATTTAATTTAAATTCATTTGAAGCGTATGTACACACGTTACTAATTACATGTAAGCAATAATCGCGCAAACGTATCTATATGCGTTCGGTCGAGTGGCTAACCAACTAAAACGGATATGAAAATTGTTTGTGTCGATTAAATACTGTTTGTCAATTGACAAATCCAACCCCCATCCTTATCAAATACTTGTTTATATCGGCACATAAATCGATAACTCTGTTCGCGTTCATATTTCGTTGGTTAATACATTTCTGGTAGCATCGGCAGTATTCATCGTTTGTGATTGTTGCTTGAATTCTTTTTTTCTTTTTCTATGCTAATTATAAATTATTGAATTACGAAACGAGTTAGATTAATAATTAATCAAAAATAATAAATTTCTTTTTCTTTTATTTGTTAAATAATTCATTCGCGAAAAACATAAATCCTATCTCGTTTGAGTCGACGTTATATAAAAAATTTATTTTACTTAATCAGTTTAAAATATATTTAAAAAAAAAAGAAAAAGGGTCTACCGACGTATGCATTAATTAATAATTTTAATGTCAATTAATTATATTAACACACATTGAGTGCCGAGTGATGATGATCATCGATAATTGCCACTCAACCAACTTTATTTAAATAGCACTTGTAAGATCAGTACATATATGTGCATGTATTTATGTATGTGCTAATTAATAAACTCAAGTTCAATTTAGAATATAAACGCTTTGAGTGTCCCGATGATCATCGTCTGATGGCACTTAACATTGTCTAATTTATTTCCAAAGTTGTTTTAATTTAAATATGATATTAACATCGTTACACCAAGATTTAAATATAGAATTTCGTAATTAAAAGATCTAAATATAATAATTTTAAATCGAATATGATCGAATAATATTTGCTGATTTATATATATAAAAAAAAAGTTCAAAGTATTTACAATAATTAAAAATTGTAAATAATAATTTCAACTATTTTTATCATACAAATATTGTAATAAAATTTAAAGAGTAAAAGAGATAACAAATTTACAAGATATTCAACACGGTAATTTGCTTTTCTAATATACACAAGATTTATTAATTATAAGGATACGCGTTGAGTATCATCGAATAAAATTTTCGAATTTAAATCTAAAACAACATAAAGCGTATTATTCGCGATAATTAATAATTACGAATAATAATAAATCCTATTTTATTATTTTCATTAGACAAACATTGAGATAAATTCTAAAAGTAAGAGGTAGAAAATTTACAGAACACTCAACGCTTTAATTGGTCTTCATTTCTAATGTACACAATATTTATTAATGACAGCTAACATGTTAATAAAGTTAATCTTTGAATCTAGTATAAAAGACGCTTGGTTAGATTGGATGATGAATGTAGAAGAGAATGACATGGCCAACGCAGCTTCGTTTTCATTACTTTGAAATGTCACGTATTCTCTCTTCTCTTCTCTTCTCTTCTCGTTTCGTCTCGTTTCGTTTCGTCTCTGTACAAGCTTTTACGGTTAAATATGGTCACTACTGGTGTTACGTATACAGTGACTCTGATGGACTAACCGAACGAGATTCCAAGAGGATAATCTAAAACGTATATTAAGCTTGACCAAGTGCGGTGCGGAATACGTATCTACGAAAAGCATCCGCAAGCAGTTAATCACAGCGTTTTGCTTTCGTATGTATAAAACCAACAAACCATGCACGATATATATAATCTTTTAAGCTCTAATCTTATTTTTTTAAATATATTCAATATTTAATCGTATCAAAATCAATCCAAATATAAAGTGAAATATTTATTCATTTTTTTCTAAATGTATTAGATATTAAAGATTAATCGATTTTTTTTATAGTTATTCTCTTTTATGTTCAGTTAAATACAAAGTTATAAGACTGACAAGTAAGACTTTGTTTTTTATAGTTTCATTTTGGTTGTATGTTAAATTTACTTTATATTAACAGAATATACGGTAGGGAGGGAAACATGTGCGCGTGTATGGGTTCGAATGTGTGTATGTGTGTGTGTGTTTGAATGAGAAAAGAGGAATACCTTTGCACGCGAGATTACACCAAGATACGAGCTTTTCCTTAGGATTATACGGTGAATCTTCTTACATGCGTCTCGTTCAAAGTGGAAGCTCAACGTGTTATCCGATCAAAACTTCCAACATATTTACATTTTACAAACCTATAGGTCACCTAATTTCAGAATAAGAGGGTTCTTGTAAATCGTGGGATTATTAAAAATATTCCCAAATATGATTTAAAAAGAAAAAAAAGAAAAAAAATTTCTTTCAGCTATTAGAGAAGGTTATTGGCTGATTTCTTTTTAAATGAACGACCAAAGTTGGTTTTCTTTGCTAACGTATATTACGCAAGCTACTATTGGTTCTAGCGATCTTTAAAAGATGAACGATGATGGGTTGAAAGAGAAAAAGAAAGAAAATAAAAGAAGTGGTGGAAGTTAAAATTTTATCGGTTTGCGAGCTTTCGAACAGCTGCTGGAGCAATGCGTTCTACGATCAGCTAGGTTTCTGCGATTTATGAGAGATATAAATGTTATACGGTGTCGCGAAATACATAGAAAGCCTATAGTCGCTAAGTGAGCTTTAAGCTTCGATAAAGCATGACATTCGAATATTTTTCTTCTCACGTCTTTCTTTCTTTCCTTTCTTTCCCCTTCC